TCGAAAATCGTCTATTTACAACAACGGCAATCAAATTGGANTTAAATAAAAATAAAACGTCAGACGATGGTCATTGCACCCCAAGGCATATCGTGGAGATCTTGAATATCGTGACTGATCGAAAATCGTCTATTTACAACAACGGCAATCAAACTGGAGCATAGCCAAAGATAACCATGGACACGTTCTATTACATATTTACTGTCATCAAAATATAATAATAATATATATATTATTATAGCGGTATTGTTACGGTTTCCATTTATTCTCTCACCACGATGTTACTGATTTTTATACATAAATACATTTATACGTGCCACTGATTACTGAAATGTTTTTGAAAAATAAAATGAAAAATTCTTAATCCTTATTTTTGTACTTAATTTCACTATAAATTGCCCTTGAATATTTTTTTATTTGTTGTACAATAAAATCAACAAGCTAACGGAAACTTTCTCCGATTTTTCTTTTAACACGCACCATGGGTGTATATCTTATACGAATATCAAATGTACACCAAGTTCTTTTTAACGAAAACTATTGATACATTATGAATAACACTATATAAAAAAAAGTACATTGCGCACTGACTTACAGACTGTAGACTGAACAGTCAATTAACTTGTCCAAGTTTTTACTTGATAATGCTGAACTGTATGTATTGACTTTGATAATATAAAAATCGGAAAACTCCAATTATAACTTAGTATATAAATTGTTGTGCTGGATTTTTATACGAATTCTTGCACTGCAAGAATAATTTATAATAGCTTTGTAACGACCAAGACTAATGGGTCGAAAAATTATAAAAACAAACTTCCAAACTTGTTTTTATTAATTATACTCCTTTAAAATAATAAAAGTATTGTTTTCGTATAAACTAAGTATTTGTTTCTCAGTAGAAAAAATGCCATAGTTACGGTCCATAAACTATTCGTCGTGATTATGTGTATACATTATACAACTTATTATCCTCACTTATAACTACAGTAGGTAATTAACTAGGGATCTTTTAAAACATTTGTGCACACGCGCGCGCAAAATAGTCTTGTACACGAATAAAGTGCAAACGGGTTGAAATACGGATTAAACAGAGTAAGTAGGTAGGTAAATGTGTTGTAAGCACTGTAAATGTTGCACACTAAATGGCTGGGTGAATTCCAAAAAAAATTTTAAGTAATTTCAATTTACACGATCTATGCGTTCGTATAAAATACCATAAAATAAAAACCAACCAAATCATAAAATAAAAATTTATATTTTTATATTTGCTAATGTTTATTTTTTAAACATGAATTTGTTTAAAAAATTGTTGGTTGACTATTACCACTAAAATTTTAACTGCTACAGTTGAAAAACTTACACAAATCAATGAAAGCAATTTGATCAGTCATGACATTAAAGACAAAAAATATTTAGTATCGTAGGTTATATTATATGAATATGTATTGAAAAAGTTGAAGCGAAAATAAAGAATGTCAAATTAAGATTCATACAAATTAGTTTCTCTAGAGTATATTCGACCATAAAGAATTTTAATGCGCTACTTTTCATCTCGATCATTATGAAAAATATTTACATTCATCTTTGACCACAACGCAGGTTCGGTAGTCATAAAATATTAAGTACACAGAACATACTACGACGTTGCTGTTTATTGTTATCATCAACAATAATAAATTATGATTTAGTTTTGATTGTTTTAGTGACACACACTAAAAGATTATTCCCATCAGTCAAACAAAGTCTTTATATCCAAAACATAAATGAATAATTGGACACATAAATTTTAAATATGGTCTGTTATATATGATGACAATTTTAAATCCAACTCTGTAACTTTAAATCAGTATTTTACACATTATTAAAACATGTGCTTTTAACATGCCGGGCAGAACTTATTGTACTTTCAATATTTTAACTACACGATTTAGGTACCTAATTACTGACGTAGATAAATTATTTCGTTGTTATTTTTGTTGATAAACAATTTTTTAAGAACCTGCGTTTCTAGTTAGGTTAGGTTTAGGCAAACTGAATATTAAATTTTATTTGGCTGCAACGTGTCTTTTCAAACACACTAAAAGATATGGAAACATTACTGATAACTTTCAATAAATAAATAAAACTGTTGATAATTCAGGGTTTTTACATTTAAAACACTCAAAATGTCAAAATTTACATATGTCTTATGGGACGTTTTAAATTGTTTATTTATGATTTAAACAAATTTTATTTTAAACATGTTTTTTAACAATCCTACGATAATTATGTTAATTCTCAAAAATAGTTGGTATATTTTGAAGGTAGAATGATATTCTGAAGGCAAATTTGTATACAACCCATACAAATTTTTTTTACTTCGAAACATTTTCTAGTTTATAAAGACGGTATTCTAAATATCAATTTCATTAGAAACGTAAATCCGAATTATGGTCTTTTATATTTTATAAAAGTAAAAAAACCACGCAAAAATTTAAAACACGTACTATCAAACTTAATTAAGCTACCACCAATTACATGAAAGGTGTTGATTTTTTTTTTTTAATTATAAACACATTTATGGTTCTTTACAGCATGTGTTTTTTAACTATGTATTTTTTTTAACACCATATTTATTAATATATTAATGTACAATAATTTGGTAGCCCACAATTCCGAGTTAAATCGAAAATGTTTAAACAGCTCAATAAGCATAAATTTAACAAATCTACACTGTTAAACTCGACGAAATATTGCTATTGAAATTGTGATCGGTCAGAGTTAAGAACATAAAAGATTAATAGTCTGCTGCAGACAAATACCTCATGTCTTCCAGTCATAAAATCTTATGTCTTGGTATGTGTAGTGGTATTAAGCACGCTATACTGACTATCAGCATCGTACATTATGCCTACAATAAGTTATTTTTCCAAAGTAGATTATGTAACCTACAGGTATAAATAAGTGTACACTAAAAAGTTATTCTGTTGTTATAGGGTTCTCTATACACACAATTGTACATCTTCTTTCTTTACCATGACTCATTAAAAGTCAAACCAAAACCATTCGACCCGCAAACACTACCGACCCACAGTACTGATAAAACTATTCCTTATTATAAAATACGTATGAACTGACTTCTGAACAGTCATGAGTGTTTTAAGCACACTCATATACACATGAGACATTATTAAATTATTGTATGGCAACGGATATGAAACTAGATATAAAAATTCATTTATTTATTTTTCAAAGAAAATAGTATTTTAAAAAAAATAAAAGTAAAGTAAATATAAAAAAAAATGCTGGTAAATATTACTGTTTATAAAAAAATGGAGAAAAAAAATCATAATTAAACTTTTTATATCTGGTAATTACTGATTTTATGAATTATAATTGAAAGACAAAAACTCATCACTACGATTAAATCTAAGATAATAACCTAACAATATCAATCAAGAGAAATTGAAATTGAATTAAAATAATGAAGGCAGTATCGTGATAATCCCTTCAGTAATATTGCAATGTATTCAATAGTTCTATCGTATTCAAATCCATACAGTCGATTTATTATTAGTCTTACTTTAAAAACTATTACAATAGTTCAAAGAAAATTTATTAACTGATAATAGTTAATAATATTGAAATGTAATAATTCATTTCACAACACATATAAATGATATTGATTCAGAAGTATTAAAGCGTCCATCCGAACAAAGTGGATTTTAAAAACATGGATATTAGTTATTCTTAGAACTTAGAATATTTTGACCACGCCAAAAATGTATAAAACTACTCTTTGTATTATCTTAACTATTTAAAAAAACACTGTAAAATTGACCAATAATTAACTACATCAAAGCGAATCAAAATAGAATGTAATAATTGAATAACATCATTATTTTTATATTTTTAGAGGATTATTATCAATATACATAATTATAACTGAAATAAGTACTAGAGTACTTAACAAAAACATGGAGTACCTCTCATTTTCACAACAAAACGCTAAATAAAACGTTGAATTTACTTTATTGATACTTCAATTTAAGATATTTCAATATGTATATAGAGTGTCCCATCGTGATTTACTAATTTTACTACATAAACTTATGTTAAAATTAGTAAATCACGGTGAGACACCCTAAACAATATTATCGACGGTACCTATTTGGAAGTTTTAAATTACACTTGGTTCACTAATTGATAATTAGCATTTTAAAATTATCTATTTTACCTAAAATTATCAAGTCAAAATTAACAAAATATACATGATCGTGAAACTATCATTAATAGAAAATTCAAAACAAAGTGAATTATTATGCAATTCATAGGTAACATGGATCCTGATGCAATAACACATTAAATATCGAAAAAGGAAGTTATTAGGAATCGATTTGTATGTATGAATGATAGTATCCGAAAGGTTTAATAAGAGATATTATCTTGGTAGCGTAAAAGATGTGATATGCATACATTACAAGTGTCAATAGTAATAAAAGATTCGCCGTAATAAAATTGTTATTACTATTTCTTAGGTTAAGAGTTTTAATAACTACATGTTGTAATGCTAACGATAATAGTGAATAAAACGTAATTTCATTACTCATGAGTGATATCAAGTAATAAACTTAAAAAAGAACGAAAATGGAAGACATCCCTAAAATGAGAAGTAAAGAAATTGTATACAATACCTAATGGTATTGTATTCACCTGGCACACCGAATGTACATATTTCAAGGGTGGAGGATTACAGCCAGCAGGTACTGAGAACGCCTCCCCAGTAAACGGTCCAACCTGTTCATTTGATGTCTACAGTCAAGATACGCTCACACAAACACACGTACTGGCTCAAACAAATACAAAATACCTTCAAGTCATATTTTATATTCAGTATCTGTGGGTGCGGTGGTTCAAGTAATATAATTTATTCTACATGGCTTATAGTGAGAATTTAACATTGGAATATATGTAGAAATTAAATACAAAATTAATTAAATTAAATTGATTTAACTTACCAAACGCACTAAAATTAGTTTTAATATATTTATCCTTTTAAATGTCAAACACGAACATAAAACACCAAACTTTTATGTTTTAAAAATGAAAAAAATTATAAATGTAAAAAATGAATAAAATTTCACCAAAATTTTTTAGAAATTTTTCGCTGTGATAAAATAACAGATAATAACGCAAACTAATAAGGAGCGATTGCTTAACAACTACGACCGGTCCATAAGCTATTGATGCACTGACTAGTTGGCCTGTCGCGACCGGTCGCCGCCACACCATAGCGGTTTTGAAGGAATCGTGCTTCTTTAGCCGGACAACCAACTACCAACTGTACGACGGGGATGCAGGCGTACCAATTGTTATTGTCATATTAAACATTAAATTTTATGTTTTAGCGGAATCGTTAATAGCTCATTAATTATCTTTACAATTGTTATTTTATCATTTATTTGTTTATTACCATCATTGACATAGACATTGTATTTTATAATTATACATAACACAAATAATTCAAATTTTCTGAGAATTCGATCATTTACTAAAAATTTAAAATACTTTTTAATTAATAAAAATATCTATTTTTCATGATAAAATTCCTGTCTTATACGAGTAATATTTACAAAAGCTATATAATATAAATGTGGATGCTTATAAGCAAAATATTATTACCCAATATTATTAGACATTTTTTCATACTATTAAATCCCTCATCCTTCCTCTTTAAAAAACAAAATTTAAATCATCTTGCCTATAGACTACTAAATTAATGTTTACTGTTTGTAATTATATCTAAACAATTTAATAATTAATCATCATTAAGTAACAATCTTAATATTGTTAGTTGCCTTAGGCCATTTTTGCACTGTTTGAACTGATCGACAATACCTACCTGGACATTTAGACGAAAAGATATTATATATATTCTTTTTATTTAGTAAAACACTTTTATAGCAAATTTAAGATGATTTTATTATTAGGAAACATAGTGATCAGGACTTTGATCCTAAATTATCTAGATTATATATTAGACCTTTTTTTAACAAAATGTGAATTAATTACCTTATAATTAATTCGGATTAAAAATGTTCATTATAATTTTACGATATTGTCTTATAAAAAATGAGGTATTCTTTGATATTTCATCAAAATACCACTGTTAGTATTCATATTGTTGTTTAATACTGCAATAACGTATATAAAAGTTTTTGTAAGTTTTCAAGATAATCATAAAACAAATTTAAATTATACAGGTGGAATCGTTTATCATTAACCAATAGGTTTATTCCAAAAATAATAATAATTTAGTAGCTTTTTATTTTTAGTAATATTTATTTTTGGATCTATAAGTGATTAATTATTTTTCAAGTCCAATCCTTATCCATAATAAAAAAATACTATCTTTATTTTAATTACGATATAAAGCTGAGATGGCTGTAATCAGTTTGCACCAAATTTAACTTAAAATATTTGCACTATCTCAGATGGTGAAAATATGAATATGCTTTGAACCAAAATTTGAATTGATTTTTCCTTTGATAGTATATTTTTGATAGTTTGATTAAAAATAGCCAATTTATATTTTCGTGTAAAATAAAAATTACTATTTTTTAATGCAACGGCACGAAATTTTAATTACACCAGAAATAATTTCCTTTCTTTAGAAGAAAAAAAAATTATAGTATTTAATGCAACGTAAAGTATATATTTATTTACATGTTTTAATGAAAAATTACATAAACTATAGGAGATAATAAGAAAATATAGAAGTTGATATAAATGGATAACCATAGAATATTATAGTTTATATAAAGTGAAAAATGTCACAAAAATACTAAATAATCACATATACATATTTCGGGAATCATGTTATCATTATCAGCGCTAAACACATACTGTCAGTATACATTACGTAAACATTTTGTTTAGTTGTATACTTTTTGTGACTTTATGAGTTAATATATTTTAGATTCTTTAGATTTATATTATAAACATATTTTTTATTTTAAATAATATCAGCCACAAGTGATCAATTATTATTGATTTTATAATATATATATGTTATTATAATTAATTTTATAATTTGTTATAGCCTAGTTTATTTATTAAGGGTTATTTTTATTTTTTGTTGATTCTGATAATTCTCAATAAATATTAGACTATATACGGAGATTACAGTCAAATTCATAGAATAAACTTAAAAATATCTTAGTTAGAATATTAATTTCATATTTATAAAAGCATAATCTTACAATTCCCTTAAAAGTTCCTAAGAACTTTTATCGGAGATCTTATACCGTAACATTTGTTATTTTTTTTATTTTATTAACCATGAGTGAAAAATTATACAATTCGATATAATAGTACATTTTACAAAGCTTCTTCCTCAACAATTCCCCAAAATTTAATGGTAGTATATATAATGGGACCTGGTAAATAGGTATACCCACACAATCCAACCCAACCTATACCATCTGGTCCGTGATCATTAATAATCTAAAACCATAATGAATTCTTGGTGATTTTTTTATATATTTTAATTATCCTAGCCTAATTTATTTTTAATATAAATTCGAACACAAATTATTTATGGAAATGTTTAAAAACATAAAACCCTCATTATTTTCGATATAATTATATAAATCTAAAAAATTTTGTAGTGAGAGTTTAAATGCAAAATTTCCTTTACCTACGTTATTGTTTAAATCTGAATAATTAATTGGGTAGAAAATAATGAGATCGACTTTTTTTAATTACAATTAAAAATTATTTTATGTTTTTTCCTCAAAAAGAGTTTAAAAAAAACACAACTCATATTTTGTAAAATGATTTTGTCGATAAAAATTTAAATATACGTTTAACTATATTATACTGAATATACTGAACAAAATTTGAAGTATCAAAACGATTAACCAATTACCATACTTTAACATAATCTTCAACGTTGTGTTGAAACACGCAATCTGAAATTTCTTATACATTTGTATAAAATTATTCAATTACAATAATACTAGTGTATTGAAATCTTTATAAAAATGTCAAGGTTTAATTCCTTTTGTAAAGAAATAACTATTCATAATTAAAGAAAATAATAATATTTTTAATATTTCCCTATACACATTATAGAACTGATCGCCATACAATTAAGATATGAAATGCATGTATACCAAAAGTGTATATTATTTTGCATTTTACCACGATAACTGAAGTTATTCTCTTAATAAATAAGTACATCATTTTAAGAAGTTAATACAAGTAATTGTATTACCGACCTTCAAAATTATACGTAAGTGTATATTTCACAATGATTTTAAAATGAAAAATTATACACTACATAAACCACATGAAACTCTGGTTTTTGATTATTATAAAATCAAAACTATTGAACTTGGTTATACATAACCTTATAATATGTATAAACTTACAATATTTTTTTTATCCACTATTTACTTATTTACTACTTTGACATCTAAGAACTATTTATTGTTTACAGCATATAACAAAATTTTCATTATAATGCAATTATATAATATTCTATATATACTTAACGTAGTAGTATGGTTGTTTAAACGGCGATTTACGATAGGCAACCAACTCCCTTTAAATAAAAAAAATAATATTTGACTGCTCATATTTTATTTAGCCACACAAGTCAGGCACTAATACAATATATAAATGTTTCAAAAATATATTTTAGTTACAAAGAAATTCTAGTTTAAATTATATTTCATGATATACTGTTTATCGTAACAACAAAATCATTGGTTCAAATTTCAAGACCTTGAAAACAATAAATTAGACTTTTCAAACTTATGTATACAGTAAGTATGTTTGTATCGCTGTAAAAATTAAATTACATTCTTGTTTCTTTTTGGCAATGATACAAAAAATTATTATTCTAACGTTATAATTAATTTTGTTTAAGTTAAAAGACATGTCTTTATAAAATGTATAAGCGATTTCCAATAGAGACAGAAGGGGTTCTGTACGTAATCCAGAATTGGCAGGAGAAGTGGATCGAGTGAACAGGAAAATTTTTTAAGGTGAAATCATAAGAAAATTATTATGTAGTTGCACATTTTTTTAACTCTATAGCAAAGGTGTATCAAAATTTTAAGTAATAATTCATCAAAAAAAGAAAAGAAAATTTACTTTCTGAATTCGATTATTCTGACCTCCGTGAGTTAATTATAAATGAATTTTATCATAAGCCATTGGTAGCTAAAACATTTTTTTTTTTTTTGAAAAGGTAGTCTATTCCTTATAATGTACTTACTGTGACATTAAAAGCACAAAAATTCTCCCTAAAAATATTTATAACTACCTTTTGTATCATCTTTATTATTATTTATATATTTTTTTTTTATATAAAATAGGGAGTTAAATGGGGGCACTTATCCCTTCTTCTATTTAGCTATACTGTTTGAGACCTATTATATTGGCTTAAATAATTCAGAAAAAAAAAAATTTATATGGAAAACAACACGAATAACAGTGATCTTTTTACACAAAAATAACATTTTTTGATGAAATTCAATTGTCGTTTAGATAAAAAAACTTAAGAAAATATTTTTTAAGTTGTAGTATGTAACACAAACTTTAATTTAACATATGTTACATAGTTCTTTCGGAACATTTTCAAAATAGTAAAATTTGGTGTAAATGTTGCTATTTTCCATCCCCCCGTGGGCAGGTAAAGGATTAGATTTTTAAAAAAACGTTTTATCAAATAAAAAGGAAATACCTAAAGTATTTATAAAAAAAATTGTTTTAATTCATCTATTTTTAAAAATGCTATGATAGATTTAAATAAAAAAAGTTTTAAAAAATATAAAAATTTACCGATTATAAATAGTGTATTTTTTTTTAGATATTTCAAGGAATGAAAAAAATATTTTACATTATAAATATAATGTCTTCAACTTACAACAATGTATGATCTTTTGATGTATCATTGAAAATAATCAGTCCAGTGAATGTAGAAAAAATGTAGTAATAGACAAAAAATAAAGAGTTGGAACAAGTGTAGATGATATCTAATAGTGATTAAAATCAATATCATAAGAAACGCTTCCATGCAAGCAAGTACATAGTGTATAATTTTAAGAAATTGATGGATTATTTCAAAAACAAAATAAACTTCTGTTTCCTTAATTCATACCTGATTAGTTCTTTTATTTATAAGTATACAATATAAAAAAATACTTATTATGATAATTATATTAAGTATAAAATTTCTTTTCTATAATTTAATATTATAATTTTTATGGAGAAACTTTAAAAAATAATAAAGTAATTGTAAATTTCTTTGGCAAACATCTATGAAAATGAAAGAGCTNTTTTTGTGTGAAAATTTTCGATTTTGTATTTTACATTTTTAACTTTATTATGCTATAACTTTTTGAAAAATGTATGGATCAGTACAATTTTTTACGAAGAGTAGTTTTTATATACATCTTTCATTTGAAATACTGTTTTTTTAAATCCGACCATTTCCCTATATACGAGGGGGGTTCAAATCTAAAAAATGCATGTAGAAAGTAGAACTTTTTCAACTTAAATTTTAAAAGTGTTTCGGAAAGTCTGACACTTTTATATATATCTTAAATTAAAGCTAATGTAATATACTTTATTATGCAAAAAAAAAATTTCGGACTTTATTTTATCTTCATGGTGAAAATAGACATCAAAGTTTATAAAAAAAATACGATTTTTGTAAAAAAATTCTTTTTTATATTTTTAACTTTATAATGCTATAACTTTTTGAAAGATGTATGGATCAATATAATTTTTTTTTTATAGATGCATGATGTCTTTACCTATCATTTGGTATATATTTTTTTTATATCTGACCCTTTACCTGCCCACAGGGGGGGATTTAAAATGACCACTTTTTCACAAAAAATTTACTTTTTCAACTTAAATTTTGAAAGTGTTCCGGAAAGTCTGACACTTTTATATATATCTTAAATTAAAGCTAATGTAATATACTTTATTATGCAAAAAAAAAATTTCGGACTTTATTTTATCTTCACGGTGAAAATGGCTACCGAATGCTATTTTTGTGTGAAAATTTTCGATTTTGTATTTTACATTTTTAACTTTATTATGCTATAACTTTTTGAAAAATGTATGGATCAGTACAATTTTTTCATGAGGAGTAGTATTTATATACATCTTTCATTTGACATACTGTTTTTTTAAATCCGACCATTTCCCTATATACGAGGGGGGTTCAAATCTAAAAAATGCATGTAGAAAGTAGAACTTTTTCAACTTAAATTTTAAAAGTGTTTCGGAAAGTCTGACACTTTTATATATATCTTAAATTAAAGCTAATGTAATATACTTTATTATGCAGAAAAAAATGTTTGGACTTTATTTTATCTTCATGGTGAAAACAGACATCAAAGTTTATAAAAAAAATACGATTTTTGTAAAAAAATTCTTTTTTATATTTTTAACTTTATAATGCTATAACTTTTTGAAAGATGTATGGATCAATATAATTTTTTTTTATAGATGCATGATGTCTTTACCTATCATTTGGTATATATTTTTTTTATATCTGACCCTTTACCTGCCCACAGGGGGGGATTTAAAATGACCACTTTTTCACAAAAAATTTACTTTTTCAACTTAAATTTTGAAAGTGTTCCGGAAAGTCTGACACTTTTATATATATCTTAAATTAAAGCTAATGTAATTTACTTTATTATGCGAAAAAAAAATTTCTTTATTTTACCTTCACGGTGAAAATGGCTACCAAATGCTATTATTGTGTGAAAATTCTCAATTTTATTTTTTACATTTTTAACTTTATAATGCTATGACATATTGAAAAGTGTATGGATCAACATAATTTTTTTATGAGAAATAATATTTTTTAATAATCCCTTTTTCATTCGACATACTTTATCTTAATCAGGATATTAATAAGGAACTAGCACATCATGTAGCTTTTGGAATAGTCCACCAATTTTTTAAAATTAAACACTATCTAAAGATTTGCATCGAAGCGTTTTTTTTTTATAGTGATTTTAATCACTGTCAGATATCATTATACTTGATCCAACTTTGCCACGTCACCACTGCGCCGCAACCCCCCTGTGCTGGGTTTTTTTCTATCGCCTCTAATTTTAGAGATTATTACTATTTAATAAAAATACAAGTATTTATATATAAAAAAAAATATAAGTTAAAATAAAATTCAAAAACACATCATCGGACGAAATCATAGATAAAACTATGCTTGGAATATTTCTGTAAATCTATGAATATAGTTCTGAATATTTTAACTATAGCATATATTTAAACACTAAGTGTTACATAGAAATGATTACTATGATTTTATTGAAATGATTTATTTCGATATGAATATAAAAAAGTTATGACAAATTTAAGTAAAAATAATAACTTGGAAAATGGTGATTTTTTTATCAAAATAATATTTTTGTCGATAATTTTTTCTTGAAAAAGTTTTTGTGAAGTTTTAAAAATGCCAACGTTTTCTGATTTTTAAAATCAGTTTTTGGGGGAATCCCCTATTAACAGGGAACAAGGGAATGTTTTTCAATTTTATTGGTAATATCATCAACTAGGTACGATTTGTGATCTTATTCTGTCCGGTGAGAGCTGAGAAAAAATGGCAGGCATAAAAAAACATCATGGCAAAATTAATAACATTCTCAGCATCTTATTGAAGTTGAAATATTTTATTAAATTTAAAATATGTTCTCACTTAAAAAAACCAAATTGTTACCTGTACAAGACATAAGGAATGAACCTTAAAAGTATTAGATACCTAATAATTCAAGAATGTTATGTAATTAAAAGTAATTGAAAAAAAAAAATTCAAAATTGTTTTAATTCTGCAAGCTATTGTTTTAATAAAAAAAATTTACTCTTTATACATTCATACACATAATTTTTATTTAACTTTTATGTGTATATTTTATATGTATCAAGTTATCATGAAAATTTTTAGTAACTGTATTTGTTAGGTCCAAAACAATAGATATGATTAAAAGAATTTTTGATTTAAACATACGTTTTTTAGTTTGGAAATTATACATAAACCTTTTTCGGTTATGTCAGTAACAACTAAGGTAACTAACATAATAAACATGGAACTTTTTCATTTGTTTGCAGCTCGGGTTCAAGATATGTTTTATATTTAACGATAAAATAAGAATTTGTTATATATGGTAATAATTTAAGAGAGACTGTTAAAACCGGGTTCGTTTTATATTAATCAAATATGAAATATTAGGTGTCTTTCTCCTTAAATAATAATTCATTTTCATATTTCTTAGGTTATAGTAAATTAACTTTTAACGAGCAACGAGCTTACTTAATGTATGGCCAAATCAGTAAAAATGAGAAATAATCGGTCCAAGTTTCATTAAAAATTAGACTGGGGCAAATGCCCAAATTACTATCTCCTATAAAATGCCCATGTAAACTTTTCAATCTATTTTAGTAATCAATATTTACTGTTTTTTAAAAACATTGAGAGATTAATTTCTTGTCATAAAATTTAAGTACAATAAAAAAATAACAAATTACTACAATAAGTAACATAAATTGAACTTAAAATTAGACTTGGAATTTGAAATTCACCTAATAAATCATCAATAAAAAAACTGATAAAATTTTTATTTATAATAAATTTTAGTTTTAAATATTTTAAGTATTATAAAATCTATGCTAACATCAAGTATTAGAAAAAACTGTGACAAAAATTAGACAAATTTATAATAACAATTATATTTTCTTCCAGAACTAAATGACATCAAACTAATTGCACATCTTTATCACATAATATGGTCGAAAATATTTAATACAAATGTTATATAGTACACATTAATGCCTAACAATAAATAAATATCATTTTAATTAAATTGAGTATAACAATTTATGGTATAAAATGTTTGTATAGAACTGGAAGATATTAACCATACAGTTGATGTAAACCCACATTGGTCAAATGATTATAGGTTACCAAATTATAAATAACAATTATTCTTAACATAACTATATACATTCATATAATTTATTGTTATTTACGTTTACATTATATTATTTACAAATCATAGCATACACAGCCTTTTGTGCCCTATTAATAGGACAAAAACTAAACCGTTTATGGCACCGTGCATCAATGCGTTATACGAATTAGTTGAAATTAAATTTAAAAGTAAATGGACTTCCATGAAACTGGTGGAACTGTTGGAAAGGATTAAAGCCGTCAGGGTGGCGTCCTGATTCTGGATCTAATGGATCAATACCGCGGTCAAACTGAGCTCGTTTTTCTATAAAATAAAAATTTATAAATAAATTAAATATTGTAGATTTTAATTATAATTTTGATAATAAAAATTAACCAGGATCTGTTAAAACTTCTTTAGCAGCTGCTATTTCAATGAATTTTTTCTCAGCGTTCTTTTTTGCTTCACCTTGGAAGTTATCTGGATGCCATTGCTGTGCTGCTTTTCTGTAAAAAAATAATGATTATAATTTATTGTATAACTAATTTATTAAATTTAAAAATACCGGTATGCTTTGACAATTTCTTGTTTGGTTGCAGTTCTCTTAACATTTAATATTTTGTAGTAATCTTTACGCTCAGCTTGTTTTTGAAGTTTTTTTGCTTTTTGTAGGCCTTCATTAGCTCGTCTGTGATCTTGATCAATTCCAAGTGCATGTTCATAATCTCTAATAGCTGTAATTAAAGTTTAAATGTTAATATATCAATATAAAATAATATAATAAAAAAAAATTATCACAAGTAAAAATTTAAATAAAAAAAAAAAATTAATTATGTATATTATAATATACACAGGAAATTTTAACATTGAATAAAATTAAAGATTTGATAGGATCTAGACTCAGGTATTCAATAATTTACCTTTATTATTTTATTAACATAAACTAAGGCTAAAATAATTTGTTTTTTTTATTTGTCATAATTTTATGTGTTTAAAAATATGTATTGAACATTTTGCAAAAAGGATGCACACCGTAACAATAGAATTAAAATATAAAATTTTTCATACCTTCATCAAACATAGAATTTTCTATATAAGCATCAGCTCGATCACAATACAAATCTGGTGTTTGACTTATTTCTAATGCATCACTACAATAATTTAATGATAGTGACAATTCATCTGTATGTTGATAACACTGACACAATTTTTCATTTGCTAAAAACCTTACATTGTTTTCATTTTTCTCTGCATCTAAAATCTAAATTAAAAAACAATCAATGAAAGTAAAACTTATCACTTTTACAAAAGATTTAGAAATCAAATAGACTTTTTTGTTTATGTTACTTTTTTAGAAAATGTAATACAACTGGAGTAATCTTTAATATTAAATGCTGATTGACTGTCAATAAGCAATTTATCAACTTTTTTAACTTGTTTATAATGACTATGGCATAGTTTATGATCTGGATCTAATTTTAAGCATTCTCTAATTTCTCTATGGGAAAACATGGAAAATTTAAAATCATTAAGTAAAAAAAATATTTTGAATCATTGATTTACCTAAGTGATTCAGATACTTGTCCTATACTATAATGAAGCTTTGATAATTTATAATAACCATCAGTATCATCAGATTGAAGCTTTGTAGCAGTTCGTAGATCCATTATGGCATGTTGAATGTTACCTATTTTCAAATGAGATTGAGAACGGTTTTCACGCAAAGAAGGGGCCCATGGACAATGCTCTATCAATCGATCATAAATTTGTACTGCACTAGCATGGTCATTTTGATCTTGGTAATATAATCCTAAATCTACATCATAAGCAAGACCATCCAGTTTAGAATATAATTCATTTGCTTCCGCAGAAAAATCACCATTGTTTATATACTAAAAGAGGTTTGAAAAAAATATTTAACAAATTTGTGGTCATAAAAAATTACTTAAATTTTACTTACAACATTATATAAATCCTTTTTAGCTTCTTCAAATGATGCTTGTTTCATATAAACAACACCCCGTTGAAATCGAGCCTAATATAAGAATTATTATTAATTAAAACTATTTTATTTAAATAAATATTCATATCTATATTTACTGATGTAAAATCTGGTTTGAGATCGAGCACTTTTCCAAAATCTAATAATGCAAATTTGGCTTTTCCTAAAGCTAGATAGACAGTTCCTCTTTTGAAATATGTTAAATAGTTTCCAGGATCACCCTCTATAAAAAAAAATATTACTCAATAAAAATAAATCAAACATATATTACCAACTTTAAGTAACATTAATATTTATGTATAATATAAAATAACTAGTAATAATTGAATTGAATATTAATAACATGAAATAAAGAACTAAATTGTACATAAATAAATATTATTGGTAAAAGACAAAATTTTTGTTTAAGAATTTATTAACTTTTAATATTATCAACTTCATAGATTTCTATTAAACTTTAATAGAATAGAATTAATTTATGAATTTAAAATATGTATACATAAAAGTTGTTTATTATTTAATTTAGTAAAAGAAAAAGTCGCATTATAACAAAGGTCCTATATTTTCTAGTTTTTTAAGAAATTATTTTACTTGATGCAACAAAAAATTATAGCAAGTTATAATATGTATGAACACATTAAGATGTCAATAAAAATTAAATATTATGCTTACCAACAGCAGCATGATAATGGGAAAGAGCATCTTGTAGTTGACCACGGGCTAAAAAATTACGCCCCATTTCTAAATGGTTTTCTACATCTGAGCCTGTAAATTACATTGAATAGGAAAAAGTTACTATAAATATAATTAATTCTGTAACTTACTCAAAGCAACAGAGTCCAAAGCCAAGAAAAACAAACAAGTAGAGTATATTTTTACTTGTACTCTACGCCACGTCTCCATGTCTATTCTTCTATTTTGTTGTGTTCAACTAGTATCAATTCAATTAATTTTTACTGATGAAACAAAATGCCATAGTGATTGAAATATAAGCTATTTATTAAAATTTAACGAACAGTTGTCGAGTAATAATATATCGTGTTCGTTTTAGTGTTGTGATCTTTTAATTTGATAAAAACACTACTGATAACTTTAATAGCTGCGTTTGGATTCTCAAAAAAAAAACTGTAGTCAAAATTCAAGTGATTGTTGTTATAAAATTGTATTAACTATTTAATTAAGATATTTTATACAATGATTTGCTACTTAAAGCTTTTGTTTTTAATTTTACTTTTTATGAAAATGGCAAATCAAAATTACTCAAAATATAAATTAGTGCAGTTGTTACAAACGCAACTATTTCATCTTTATCGAACTCCGTGTTGGAACCTCATTGGTTGATATTCATACCATAGTAATATCACAGAATATTCTAATTTAAAATTCTAACAGTACCCACAGACTATGTGAAAAAGGTCATATATTTTCATATAGTCTGCGACTATACAAATAGAAATTTTTTTCTTACAAATAAAATTCTTCAATCATATGAAATACTTTCTCGTTAAAGAAAATTTTTTCTATGTTTTAGAAAGCTCATTGAAAGTTGACTACATATGTAGACGACTTTTAAAAACCCTTATAAAAGGTATTAATTAAAGTATTCATCGTAAGTTAATAATTACTCTCAATTAAAATTATTAGAGAGTAATTGAAACAATTGGTAAAACAACTAGATAAGTTCATTTTTTTTAATTTTTCAAGAAAAACAAAATGTTATTATTAAAACAATTATACAATGCTTTCCCCAAATAAATATTTCTACAAATAATTGCAATATATGAACACTATAATAAAAAAAGGAAAATATTTAAAGAAAAAATTATTAACTTTTTATCATTCCAAAACATTTTAAATTTATAACCATAATAATCATAAATGGCTTTTTGCATATTAAGCCTATTACAAAATAGAATTTATTTTAGAACAGTATCCCGATAAATTTACCTACATATGAACAATAACTGAGAATTAAAATTAAATTACTAAATTTTTTTAATCAATAAGTAATTTATTTATTATAAAACACTTACTGTAATTAATCAAAAATATTAAAATAAAATTGTAATTTTTTTTAGATTCGTGTTTTTTTCAATTTATCAATCATTAAGTATTTTATCTTATATTAGTATATTATATCTAGTATTTACGTATAAGTGAAATGTTTATCCCTTAAACATTACAAAAGTGTCAAATTGAATGGCAAAATGTGACTATTAAAAGAACCACTCTACTAAAACTTTTTTTTTTTTGAAAGAGCAATCTCTTTACTTTTAATATACATATTGGGTTGATATTAAAAGTTGGAAAAATTCTTCCCATGAAAATATTTATATCCAACACTTAAATAGCTATGGCCTAAAACACGGACTGTCCGCTACTGACGAGAACTTGCAAATAATTCCAGGGGCACAGTTATACTGTATAATAACTACCGACGTATATGTTATTGCTCGTCTGCAGCTCCTAGTCGTCTGACTTCCACTAAATTCCAATTTTGAACTATCCGTATATTGGTACTATAATAATAATTACCGACGCATACGCCATTGCCGCCCATCCTCTGCGGTGTATTCGCGTTGTCGTCGCATGACAACAACAGTCCGACCCTCTGAAGTATGTTGTACGCTTAAATAACAAAAAGTGTAATTTACACATATTTATACAACATATAGAATTAAGCGTTTAGCCTCATTTACAAATAAACGTAGTTAATTGATAACACCAATAAATCCATCTTCTCACTTGATATTTTACTTAAACAGTTTAAAAAAAAATTTTATATTATTTTTAGGGCATAATTGGTTAAGAAACTTTTTGCTATAATTAAGTTCTATTACATTAGTTCATGTCCAATGCTGAATATCTATGATGTCCAATACTCTATGATTGTATGTCAATATGTGTCTTTGTTATGAGCTTTTTTAGGAATACTAAAAATGTTATTTATTTACTAAATAAATATTACGAAAATATAAGAAATATTCCATAATTATTAATAATATATGAATTATATAATAAAAATATATATATGTGCTTTTTTTATGTATTACAAATTTCAATAAGTAGTAATGATTAATATAATAATATTAAAAAATTAAAGAAAATCTTATTACTAATGAATATATATTTGTAACTGTAATTTTATTACTAGCTATAAATTGAAATATTCAACATCCATCCCATCATCCTCCTCTCTCTCTCTACACACAAACATATATTATCTTGATTTTAAAATTGATATTATATGTATTAGGCCAGTCAACGAAGGAGTAATTTTGGCGAATAGCGAAAAAAATTCTCAACCAAATTTTTTTTTTTTTGTAAGTCGAATAATTATATGTATAATGACATACTAAAAGTCCGCATTTTCTGGTAATGTTAAAAAAAATTGTCAAAAAGCGTATTGGCCTTAGTCAGGTGCTGGAGCTGGTAAAAATTGTGTCTTCCGGAAAACAGAGCTTAAATGTTCTATTATATGTGAACATTGCAAAGATCAACGGCTTATAAATTCAATAGAAATAAAAATTGAAGATTAAGAAGATTGTACTCTTTTTGAAGATATATTATACACACTGTGCCGGAACACTGCTGGTTTTTTTTTTTAAATAGCGATTAGTTGAAATAGTAGCAATGGGTTTACTTTAATTATTTCATTAATAATTTTGACAATAGAAGTTATTGAAGATAGAGTTATAACTTTATTTGACCTTTTAAGATTTATATCATGAAAGTTATTATCCACCATTGAGTTTATTAGAACAAGACCAATTTTATACACTTTATGACAATTAATTTTATCATTACCAGAAATTCCAGCTGAGTTGATAAAAGAGAACATGAGGTAGGTGAAATGAGGAGATCAGTGACAATAGGCGAGAACGTGATTGGAGAGGTGGAAAGATTCAAGTATTTAGGATCAATTGTGCAAAAGAGCGGTGATATTGACGAGAATGAAAGACACATGATTAAGTGCGGGTGATTGAAGTGGATAGAAGCGTCTGGTGTCTTATGCGATAAAAGAATTCCAATGAGGCTGAAAAGTAAATTCTATAATACTGTAGTGAGGCCAGCTATATGTATGGTTCAAATTGTTGGGCGGTTGATAAGAAAGTAGAGCAGAAAATGAGTGTAGCAGAGAAGAGAATGCTTAGATGGATAAGTGGAGTGACTAGAGAAGATAGAATAAGAAAAAAAAAGATAGGATAACGAACAAACATATAAAAGGGAGATTAGGTGTAGCGTCAATTGTGGATAAGATGAGAGAACAAAGACTTAGATGGTTTGGTCATGTTATGAAAAGAGAAGAATCGGAAGTTGTAAGAACAGTTATAAAAATGAATGTTGAAGAAATAAGAGGTACAGGAAGACCAAAAAGAGATTGAGGGATGTTATTGAATGCGATTTGAGGACAGCTGATGTGAGCGTAGATGATGTGGGAGATCGTGTCAAGTGGAAGCTTAGGATAAGGGTGGCCGACTCCAAGTAGTTGGGATTAAGGCAAAGAAAAAGAAGATTACCAGAAATTCCGGTGGCAATTAACATAATATACTTATTGTTTGGGAACGTACAATTTAGCGTTTGGTTGGGTTTAAACAATATAGCGTCAAATCAATTACCTACTCTATCGGTTGTATCTTCATATATACTACACTTAAATGATATTATAAATAAATAAACTCACACATACACACACATGAATTTATAACATTGTGTCTAATGTAAGTATAACATGATAAAAAATAACCGTAAAATGAAAAAAATGGAAAATAAAATTTAGTACTCATATTAAATATAATAGAACTTGAAAAATATTTGTTTAAATGAAAAAATAAAAGATGCCTTTTTTGTTTAAAATTGTCTATTAAATAAATTTTGTATGAAACTTCTTTTTGTAAGTTAAATATTTTTTGAGAAAATTAAAAAAGCTCCTATTTTTTGAACTTTTGCAAGGCTGTAAAAAAAAGCTCAATTTCAATCAATGAGGACTTTTGTTATGTCATTATACATATCTTAATTGAACTTTAAAAAAAAATATGGTTATGAATTTTTTCCGCCATTTTTCTTTTGTTGACTGGCCTATATATATGTAGAGTGTGATTAGAGAATAAATTTTATTTTTGATCTCCTGAAAAGTAAGAAAAAGTAAGTTAGACTTAGATGATTTGATCGTGTTATGAGGAGAGAAGAATGGGAAACTATAAGAACAGTTGTGTAGATTAATGTTGAAGAAAGAATAGGTAGAGGAAAACCAAAAAACCCAGCACAGGGGAGTCGCGGCATAATGGTGACGTGGCATAGTTGGATCAAGTATAATGATATCTGACAGTGATTAAAATCACTATAAAAAAAAAAAACGCTTCGATACAAATCTTTAGATAGTGTTTAATTTTAAAAAATTGGTGGATTATTCCAAAAGCTACATGATCTGCTATTTCCTTATTAATATCCTGATTAAGATAAAGTATGTCGAATAAAAAAGGGTTTATTAAAAATATTTTTTCTCATAGAAAATTTATGTTGATCCATACACTTTTCAATAAGTTGTAGCATAATAAAGTTAAAAATGTAAATCAATATAGTTTAAAAAAACTAAAAAAAAACACGCTTTTAAAGCACATCAAACTAAAAATTATTTTTAAATTTTTAGTTCAATGTGCTTTAAAAGCGTGTTTTTTTAGTTTTTTTAAACTATATTTATTTTTCACTTTTAGTTTCATGTTATGATAGTAGTTACTATCAATATCATGGTTGTGACGGGTAACTGGAAATCAGGGTTCGATTCCGAGGAAGGAGTCTGAGAAACGGCTACCGCAGGATTACCAAGGAAAGCAGCAGGTGCGTACATTACTCACTTTTGGAATATGGAGGTAGTGTCGAAAAATGACGGTACGGGAATCATCCTTTGTAATCGGAATGAATACCTTATCTCTTAATTAGAATAAAGCGTATTAAAATATAAATTTTAATAGTAATTAGAATATATATACATGTAAAGCGACTTAAGTACGTAAACGTATCATGCACGAGGTATAGCTGTGTTTTGTGGGTGGGG